GGGGGGCGTAACTGGTCGTCGGGCGCACATTCGTGCGCCGCGCGGGTCCGGTCCGGCGGTCTGCCGCACGTGCGGAATCGCCCAGACGGCGTCCGCTTGCAAGTATGGTACCGAGGCATCATGTCCAGCAAAGACAAAAATCTGGCGAGGGGGGACAGAACTTGGTGGCCAAGGCAATCACCTCCATGAAGACACCAGACAACATGGAAGGCACCTTCTGGGTCGAGTGGTCAATGAAAACAGGCCGACCAAAGACAGCCAGAAGGAGCCACACCCCTCAAACCAACTGTAAACCCTTACTAAACTGGCTATATGGCTTTACTGGCAATGAAAACAGGCCGGCCAAATATAGCCAGAAGGAACCCCACAGGACGTCCCAAGCCTTTACCATACTGGGCATTCATACTCCAAGCTTGGAGGAAAATAATTCCGACAAAATCTCAGAAGCCAAGAGAAAAAGAGAGAGGGAAGAGAGAGAACATAAAGAAATAGAGGCCCATTTCTCTATTGACCCTGCCCTAAAAGATCCTAGCAAAGGCCCTAGCTTACAGAATCCTGAACATCACCGACAAATGCCTCTATCTAGACCAGGCGGGTTTTATTCCAGGTAGATACATCCTTGATAATGTTATTATGACCGTTAAAGAAGTAGCGAAGAAAGTAGCAGAGAACACGATGAAAGCAGCAGTCTTATTCTTCGACTTTGAGAAGGCGTACGACCAAGGAAATTGGGCTTTTCTCAATGCACGTATGGAAAAAATGGGAATAGGCCCAAACTTCAGGAAGTCCTTGCAATGATGCAACAGGCTGTGTCTAAGTTATTGAAATTCTATGTGAAAGCTATCTGAAAACTATCCGATTTTGAGGTCTGTACGCCAAGGAGACCCAATTGGGGCCCCCAATCTTCCTGTTCGTCATGGAAGCAATTGCGTCATTCCTACGAAAAGATCCCGCTATCCTCAGGCTTCCAGAACTAAACACCGCTTCACAACACTATATCTCAGTTTTTTGGCAAAATGTGGTCTTGTTTTTGCCCATTTGACTTTCATTTTGGATGCAAGCCTGAATGCTTCCATCGCTCTGATGAGGGATTTGAATGATGAATCTGAGGCTCTAATGAGCACTGTTAAATCATCAGTGAACATGGTCACCGTTTCAAATGAGATATAGTGTTGTGAAGCGGTGTTTAGTTCTGGAAGCCTGAGGATAGCAGGATCTTTTCGTAGCAGGGTCCTCCTCACCTACGGTTTGCCCCCTTCAAAAACTCTTGTGACTGATCGGTATACCAAATTCATTAGTTCAGATTTCACTTCCAGCTTTATGGCATAAAACTGAACATGGTGTCTGGTTGCCATCCGGAAGCTAACGAATAGGCCGAGGAAATTAACCAGGTCATCGCCCAACTCCTGGGTGCATTGATTATCCCTGATCAGAACACTTGGGATGAAGAGTTAGATGCGGTCAAGGGGTTGTACAACAACACCATCCACTTTGCCATCGGCATGATTCCGGACATGCTGCAATACGGTTGGCGGGTCTGCAACCCTCTTGATTTCTTGTTTCCTAATCGCCCTGCTAGTTTGACCCCTAGCATGCGTGGTTATGGAGCCAATTTCTGACGCTTGCTCAAAGTTGCAATTGCAGCAATGAACAAACACCAGGACGCCGTGATCAAAGTTGGTAATTGGCAACTCAGGCCTACAACTTTTTTTGAGGAGGGAGATTATGTCTGGGTGAAGATGTTTGAGTTTTTCTGACGAGGAAGGAGTTTCTCGCAAGTTACTCCCACTATAGTACAGCCCTTAACAGATTTTGAAGGTTGTGGGAGACGATGACTTCAACCCTTTCTATGTGGTTTGATGTGCCTCCTCGTCTGCGCACAATGACTTCGACCCTTCCTATATGGTTTTTCTCATCTACGCACATATCTCGTGTTCAACGCGTCCAAGTTGTATCCTTACACTGCTTCTATCTCCTTCCCTGATCATGATCCTATGATCCCTCACGATATGAATGGCGGTCATGAAATCGACAGAACTATGACTCATCTTGGTAAGGGACAGAACAGGCACTACCAAGTGCATTTCCTCTATCGTTCTCTTGATGAACTCTACTGGATCCCTCCCACAGTCCTAATCAAGACTGCACCTTGAGTGGTAAACGCCTATCAGCGCCATGAGCAGCTGACCCTGGATGAACAGATGACAAACCCTCTTTGCATTTTCCACCTACAACGCATTTTGCAGGGACTCTACCGAGCCTAGTCGCTCGAAGGGACATTGCTTTTAAGGGGGCGGGTGATGTAATGATCTGCAAAATTTCAGACTGCGAAATCTGCTGTTTTCTGAGTAGTGCTGCTTGCTGGACTGATTTGCAGAGATTTCTGTGTTCTGTCGTGATTTGCTGTGTTTTTCTGTGTGTGTGTGTGTGTGTGTGTGTGTGTGTGTGTGTCTGTGTGACATACCTCTGACGTACCTGTGCCTTGCGATTGCCTGGGTCCAAGTCTGTGCCCTTGTGATAACTCTGCTTTCTGTGCTGTGTTCCTGTATCGCAAGATGGGCTAGAAAGGTAATGGAGAAAGGCACAGGGACAGACCCGAAATTAGGCAGCAGAAGAGCTTACCAGTAGCTTGAGACGGCTAGGGCCAGTCATAGAATTTGATAGGGATACGGTAGACCTTTCCCAGCAACTCCGTTATGTCCTGGTAGGCCCAGTAGGCTCAGAGGAAAATCCAGTAATTTCCAAAAATTTACAGAGGTCCAGGTCCTGTACCTAGTCCGGTAATAGGGTAGATTCAGGGCCTGCAGTGAAGCTGCAGGTTGCAATTATTTTCTTGCCAAAAGACAGGAATTTCCAGGGAATTTCCAGCGGGTCCGGGGCACCAAGGGAGGCTGAGCTACAGTGAAAAATTCGGCCAGGAGTCACGGGTAGGCAAGACTCAAGAGTATATTATTTGGTGCCAAGAGCAGCAAGGGCCTCTTGGATTCATTCTCCAGTTGCAAGCTGTGAGGCTGTTGGAGCGCTCACCAGCCTGGTGAGGTGCTGATTGGAGGAAGGAGGCGGAGCTTGGCCCCCACTTCGGCTGTGGTAGAGGTGACCAAGGTGGGAGAAGGGGAAGACATGGCTATGGAGGAGAGGTGAAGGAGGAGGAGGAAGAAGAAGGGGAAGGAGAAGGAAGGAAGAATTAGGAGGAGAGTGAAGAGGAGGGTGAAGAAGGGAGCTTACCTTGGCTATGGTGTGTGCGTCTTCATCTTCTTGGTTGTCGCTGCACCTGGAAGGCCCCAAGTGCGGTGATATTGGGAAGGAAGACTCCATTGATGGAATGTGGCATGGCGGCCATAGTGAGAGAGGCACAATAGCCTTGCGTTGTCCTTCGAACATCGGAGCTAGGTCCGCCACAGCCACCAGCTTGACCAAGTAGTAGGAGGAGGTGTAGGATGGCTATGGCGGACTTCTTGAGTGGCTGGCAGTAAGGCGAGGATTCGGACATTGATTCTGGTTCATTCATTCATTGTCCCCAATACTCCTAAAGGAAATAGCGGGTCTCGCGTGATAGTCCCACGCAAGACACGGCTCTCCGTGTTGGGAAAAGCAGCGCCCGGCCCAAGACGGTAGTGTCAGGCAGGGACCGTCCGACAGGGGCGGAAAAAAAGAAAAAGGGTGCGGGTGCCATTCGGAGGGGCCGTGGGCAGGCCAGGAACGGAGAAGCGGGGACTCGTCACTGTTGTTTGGACGACAGGAAGGCGCACTGTTGTTTGGATGACGGGAAGGCCCCAGGGGGGATGCGAGGTGGTGAGAG